CCTTGTTTGAAGTATCTCACTGACAATGGTCCCAACTCCCAAGCATCTTAACATCAGTCGGAAATAATTTTTTTCCATTCCGCATCGGTCCAAAGTTATTGTTAAATTCTAATACCATTGTCAAATAAATTTGAAAACAGAGAAAATGATGAAATATCCACATTTACAAGTGCGCGACACAAATTGCATCATTACCTTACTTGCTTTTTGCAACACTCGCTACCTAAAATGCAATTCTGAATCGAAACATATTTTTAGGCGATGCACTCCATTACTGTGACTTCAAGGATTTCACCCCAGCACATTGATGAGGTGGCGGATAACTTGCTAGAATGGTCACAAGCTCAATGCACTGCTTGCTTGCCACTATGATATACTTATGATCACTCTTTCTCTGAACGTCCCTATCATATTTAGAAGTAAAAAAAATTCAGCAATCATTCTGCTGTGAATGCTAATGGATACGTACCAACATATCGCCAACAAATGAGATAATCTCAGCTAAACATCTAATTCAATAACGCAGTTCATGTTGCATGTGACCATTCGAGGCAGTTCATTTCATTAAATCCCATATGACATTGACAGTGTGAAACAGTGGTTCTCAACCTAGCATGCGAGACAGCACTCTAGGAGCATGAGATAACATTTCATTTTCTATACATCTACTTCTTAAAGTTAGCTAGGATGGACTTTAACAAATATGTTTTTGAAAAGATAGAACATTTGCACTGACGGTGTACACTTATGTACACCATAGACACTCACTCTTGTGGATGAGGAATACGGAGTGGATGTTGTAAAGGGTGCGAAGATAGCATAAAACTTTGTAGGGGGTGTGAGCGAAGAAAGAGGTTGGAAACCACTGTTTTAAAGTTTTGAATCGATTCGAACACTGAATAAATCCGTTTAACCTGCAATGTTTGCTTCGTCACATATAACTGAATACATCCACTGAACAATTTTTTTCAAAAACTTCATATGGAATCAGGTAGTTGAATGGTGCATACTTATTTGAAATCAGAATTCAGCACGAATGCATTTTGCCTGTAGCATATAATCCGAGAGCAAGAGGATAATTGTGAATGAGAGCTGAAATACGATCATGCTCGGATAGTTCAGATTTTGAAACTAGACAAGTGAAGATTACTCATCTGACAATCAAATGCTTGGATGATTCCTTAAAATTAAGTGAGTGATAACATCATCGTGTACACACAATTAAACTGCCGATAAGACACAAACAAACATAATTAGGCACAAAAAAACTTATAATCGCTATGTAAGTTGCTTAGTGAATAAGTAGTTCGAATTGATTGATAAATAACGACGAAAACGGCGAACTATCATCTGAAAAGTAATCCAAAACACTAGTTGTTAGCGTCACAGTGACAGCAATGCTAATGCAAAATTCGATAGCAGCGATCATATTCGAATCCTGAACAACTAATTTAAGCAAGCAAACACAAATCAATACTTCTCACTGATTCGATGAAAGTTGAACATTATCGATGAAATTACAAAATAATGGAAAAATATCATAGAGAAAAGCATTACAGTAGAAAAAATAGAACTGTGCATGAAAGACTTTCTACAAATTTTCGAAGCTGATAAAAATTGTCATACAGAAATGAGTATTGTGGAATTAACTAATCGTAAGAGTGAGAGACGGACGGCAAAAGCAATCTCGTAGCCATATTATTATTCAGCCTCTCCGGATTTTCGGTTCTGACTGAGTGCTTAACAAAAACAGCTATCACAATTGGTAGATCGAAGCCAATGATCGCACCGTGATACCAGTTGATATATCACTGACAAATGTTTCGTTACAACTAAGAAACACTTCTCTTGGCTTCGTTATTTATTTATTGTGCACAATTAAGATTATTCATCTCAATTTGATGGAGCATCTATCTTCTTGAAATGCTTGTATTCTCGATTCTTTTCAAATAGATGAAATTCAGATTAATAGAAGTGACTACGAATTAACATTAACAATGTATAACGTGTCATTGGTTTCATTCGAAGTTGAGTTGTTTGAAATAAGAATCAGCAATAACATTCAGACTTGACTTGTAACCACTTTTGGCGTTGTCATTTGCATCGCTCTTCATTTGCATCAAATGATCTCTGACTGAATAGATTTTTCGCGTAACCTGCAATCGCCAACGAATGCAACCGAATTGCGATTTTGCATCCTGACTGTTTCAGAGTAAGAAAGGCGTATAAAATGATTATTAGCAAATGACAATTGAAAGATTCTGAGAGCAGTAAGATGCTCCGTCCTCTTCTGTTCTGTCGTTTACGTTGTTTTATTCCATTCTTTTCACACACCGCACATTTGAAGTTGCTTTATTCTAGTTAGGTAAAAGATAACAATATGGAATCGGAATAGAAGAGTTTGACCGCAACAGCGTTATCCCTGGTGGTGACTCATCAGTTGCATTCGTTCATTACTGCTTTGGTTTTTGTTGTTAATGCAATAAGCCGATTTCGAAATTGCCTTTATCGTATCAGTTGGTCGACGAACATAAAATCTCCTTAGCAAGGCGTAAAAAGCTTCAAATCAATTTGACGGATGAAAGATCGCAGCATAGAAATTTTTATTAGAAGTTGAGGGACTCTAATTCGAATGTTTTCGGACCCTTACGTTGTATGCATCAAGTGAATGCGTTGTGTATCGTTATTACCCTCCCTTCAACCAGGTTACAGTAATTGGAGGAGTGTTCATTATGTCATCACTTCTCATCTGATATGCTGATAGTTGATATGCTAATCGTATTCCTCTTCGACCGCTTTTCAAAGAAAAAGCCCTCCATTGTAAAACCTCAGCTATAGTTACTTTGACCATTATGTGGATCGTTCGTGATTTATCAAATAATCAGTTGATTATAATTGATTACAACTCATAATTTCCTAAAATGCACATCGTAAAACTTGTTTAACTTTAGGCAGTGGAAATGTATAACAAATTGAGATGATTGATGTAATCCGGACGAAATAAATAACATTGGGTGGCATAATCAGATTCTAGTTTTAATGAATCTGAAACTGGAGTATCAGTTTTTCATTAAGTTGTCCAATTGCAACTTTTCATTGGAATTTTGCCGTGACACTCAAACGAATGATTTGGCACTGAAAAATATCGTTTTCCAATGTAGCCAATAAAGTGCTGACTGTACTCGCTTGAAAGAGAAAGCTGTCCATAGCGATCATAAATCAGAAAATATTCAGTGGAAAAAAGCGAAGCTATACTCTGCTGGTGATTCACTGATCATGCTATTGCAAACATTAGAGCAAAGACAATAGAACGAAGAAAACATTTAGAAAAAACAATTTCATCGCTAAGCGATTATCACAAGCAAATCTCGCAAGACATTCTCAGGCACTAAAATTTTTCTGTTTTTATCAGACGGTTGAAAGGGAAATTTTTTCGCTAAGAACTTTGTTCAGTTTGTTGAGAACTACAATCGGAGCACTCTTATGTGCATCATTTTTCTTTCGTTGATCGATCGAAACCAAAAACCATATAGACGTTGTTTTTGGTTCCTTATTTCATACACTTTCGAACCATTAATTTGATGGGATTATTCGCGCAAATCAGTTCCAAAGATTTTATCTCATATAATCTGCAAGGAAGAACATTTCAAGTAGATTTTCACCACTTCCCATGATAATTTTCAAATGGGTTTACTTCGTTCGATGCTGAACTTTCGTTGAACATCACTCCAGCAAGTATAAATTCCTTGCGTGAATTACTATGTACAGATATGATTGGATTGTTCATTATCAGATCACCTGAAGATTTAGTTTGGGCGAGGTTGATGGTGATATTGAAATGATCAACACAACTTTAAAGTTATGATGAATTCCCACTGTTTCGCAGCAATAGTTTGAAGGTGATAAAAATCATGATGATAGGCTAACGATAATGCATTGCGCAGATACGTATTGTAGTCGTGTACATGATATGTTCGTGATGAGATGACAGTTGACATGGAACAAAATGATAATCCAACCATAGTCATCAACAGTTCATCAGTGAATAACAACTTGCATTAAGAGTGACCAGTTTAGTTCAGAAATGTAATGGGTTCTTGAATCAGGAACAGCTGACGAGGTATTATTCTGCTAGACGATTCTCGTTCCCTCTGTGATTCTGAATCGTCCGCAACGGCATTGAGACAGTGATTTGAGAGAATTCGATCGAGTTCATTTTATTATTTGTTTATTGTGAATTGCCATAGGTTTAGCAGAGTTTGCATGGACAAATGATCAACATATTGGTTTGAAAACAGCACATCAGTGTATCACATGCGTTGATTGTATCATACATCATATAATTATCACAATAACGTGATGGTGCGATAGTGTATGGATTAGACTTGAACAGTTCCGATCAGTTAATCATTAACTAATAAGAAATGCTTCATCTCGATTGCTGTTCACTAAGCTAGTTACATCAAAAATGGATGTACTGCAATATCACTACGGAATTTGAATATTTCACAGTTTTTGAATCGAAACTTGAAATGCAACGAGTAATTATTACTGATCAAAATGGAGCGGGAAGAGATCAGCCACCGTCGATGCTCTAAAATAGCATACCGATTGCAATAATGCTCCAGCGGGATAGCCTTATCAGTTGAAAATCCTGCCCGTATCCCAAATTCGCTTTCCATTGACTACCGCAGGTTTCTCTTCAGGATCAACCAGTCATTAATAGAGAACAAAGGCGTAAAACATTATTCAACCAGTACAATTGAACGCTTCTAAATTGCTGCGCCATTTTGGTCTGTTATTATTGAATTGAACGGTTGGCAGATTTGCGTAGAAATTGAGATCAATAGTATGATTGTGGGCACTTGGACGATGAGTGGTTCTGCTGCGCAGTTGCTTTGCCCAGCAAGAAACAGCCGAATAGTCCATTTCAGGCATCATCTTATTGGCGAATAAATGATGCGAGTGCCGTAAAGTCTTTAGATCCTCAACACCGAACACACAAACTCCATGCCGATAACGTCTGCTCTTACACGGTAAACGCGACCATCCCCAGACTGTGTACCTGAACTCAAATGAACTGACAGAGCAGAGCACATCAGCTCATAAAACCACTGAAAGGCATTTGTAGCACATATGAAATCAAAATGCAGTAGAATTCGTTTCGCAACTGGAAGATATTGTTTAATGACACGTAGAATAAATGTCAGGCTTGTGAGAAACAAAACTTCAAGCCGTCGTTATAATGCTATGATTATCTTGCAGTCGGTTTCGAAAGTAGCACTATTCTTCAAGAGAAGATAGTTCATTTATTATTTCCTTTATTTTTTGGCAATTTTCACCCCTTTCACGGCGGCTCCAGAAGACCTCGGAATGATTGTTGGCCTTCAAGTTCTCAGAATAAGGTGCACTCTCAATATTCCAACTCTTTTGACCTTACATTCAGTTTTGGACTGCCTGTTGCGAAGAGTAAACAAGAATTGCCCTCAATGCTTAATGTTTTCAGAAATTAACAATGGAATGCAAGTAAGGACTGCGTAACAAAATTGCTAAAAAATGATTCTAGACAAACCTGGTGATATAAGAGACATGCTTATCCATGCAGTGCCTTGTATAGCCACCAGGAGCATCTGAAAGCGTTATTGATATAATCGTTTACGATCGTTGAAAACATCTTCAAATTTGAAATGCACAACGAAACCGAGAGTGAATTGGGTTGAAATGGATAATTTCTAATAGTGAATCAATGAGTGCATTCATTGCTTTCTAGCAATAATGAACCGAATTCGACGATAACCAAAGATGAGGTTTGTATCTGGATTCTTTTGAAATCATGCGAAAGGGCTTAATGGGATATCAAATCCAATGTGGAAACTCATTGCTCGGACTTTGATTACTCAATTATATCACGCAGGTATTATGCGAGTGAAAGTTGGCAAGTTTTACGAAAGGCAACATAGCCATAAAAGAAACCAATTCAGCTGAATTCGGTTACTTTATTTCATTCGGGGGAAATGATGGAAAACATCTATGGAAAATCTGGTTCGCTCGGCATCAAGAAACAAGAACTTGTTAAGTGAATCACCAAGAAAATCGTCCGAATTGAGCGAAGCCATCAGCATTTCGTCGCCACCATACCGAATACTATCGAAACGTTTCAAAAGAATCGTCAAATTGAGCTTATCAATAATGAATTCGACGAAAGGTCGTGACAGAGTCGCAGCCGTACTTCCTTTTGCGATCCTCAATGTTCTATTGTCATTTTGGTTGGAATCTGAAATTCATAACTTTCATTCAAACCTGTGACAGCACAATTTACAATTTAATCTAGAGTTGATGAATGATATTGATAAAAAGGTTTAACAAGATGCCTACTGCTTCGAAAATATGTTATTTGTAGGAATGGGCGATAATTATGAACTCTTAAAAGGAAACACACAGCTAAGCAAAACGCTGCTGAGATTTGAATCAGAGATTCAGGAAGAAATGCCTTTGAAAAGGTGAAGTGCTTCGTAGCTCCAATCCTTATATCTTGGGATTCGATGTGAAAATGGCTTGCTAACGCTGACGTCGTTGCTGCCATTTAACGCTCTCAATATTGCGGCCATTTCGTGATTTGTCTTCAACGGAATATCGTAATTCTAAACGATAATTTATTTCAGTTAGATCATTTCCATAGCTGCTGCGGTCAATTCACAACACAAACAATTCAACGCAACGATCGACTAAATTATTCCACGTAATGACAATTTTCGCATTTAAAAGTTATGATACTTCACGTTGATTGCATTAGAATGAAATTTGCGTTGAAAAGCATGCACGCTGAAATAATTTGCACTTTTACAGATCGAATTGTGAGAAAAGAGCTGAAGCTGATTCCTTTGAGGCTTCTTCATTGTCATTCGACTCAATTTGACTCTTGATTTCATTCATACTCTTCATTTTCATTTGCATCGAAATTTCAGCATTACTGAATTTCAAACCTATTTAATTTATCAGTAACGTATATTTTAGAAAGTAAACATCCTAGAAACGCTATAGAAATCGATTCATTATCATTTGAAGATTACAATGGAAATCATTCAATGGAATAAGCAAATTGCAGAGATTCCCTTCACCTGCAATAAAATAGCGTATTTCCAGTTGGTTAGTTTTCGTATCAGTTTCAAGCATTCCAAGTAACTTCTGTCCATATTGTGACCAGCACTATCCACTTCGTATTCAATTGCTGTTAAATGAACATTCGAAAAACATTCGGATAGGTTTTGCATTTGTTGATGGAATATTTTTGTCGCTTTCTTATCGATCGCATAGCAGAATACATTCGTT